TTACATACACTCAATTAGAATTTGGTAGCATTGCCTTTCAATTGTTTAACTTGGGTCAAACGTTTCGGGTAGTCTTCCACAAGCTTCCCACAATAAGTTGGGTGAATTTCGGCCCATTCCTCCTGACAGAGCTGGTGTGACTGAGTCAGGTTTGTAGGCCTCCTTGCTCGCACACGCTTTTTCAGTTCTGCCCACACATTTTCTATAGGATTGAGGTCAGGGCTTTGTGATGGCCACTCCAATACCTTGACTTTGTTGTCCTTAAGCCATTTTGCCACAACTTTGTAAGTCTGCTTGTGGTCATTGTCCATTTGGAAGACCCATTTGCGACCAAGCTTTAACTTCCTGACTGATGTCTTGAGATGTTGCTTCAATATATCCACATAATTTTCCTTCCTCACGATGCCATCTATTTTGTGAAGTGCACCAGTCCCTCCTGCAGCAAAACCCCCACAGCATGATGCTGCCACCCCCGTGCTTCACGGTTGGGATGGTGTTCTTCGTCTTGCAAGCAACCCCCTTTTTCCTCCAAACATAACAATGGTCATTATGGCCAAACAGTTCTATTTTTGTTTCATCAGACCAGAGGGCATTTCTCCAAAAAGTACGATCTTTGTCCCCATGTGCAGTTGCAAACCGTAGTCTGGCTATTTTATGACGGTTTTGGAGCAGTGGCTTCTTCCTTGCTGAGTGGCCTTTCAGGTTATGTCGATATAGGACTCGTTTTACTGTGGATATAGATAATTTTGTACCTGTTTCCTCCAGCATCTTCACAAGGTCCTTTGCTGTTGTTCTGGGATTGATTTTCACTTTTCGCACAAAAGTACGTTAATCTCTAGGAGACAGAATGTGTCTCCTTCCTGAGCTGTATGACGGCTGCGTGGTCCCATGGTGTTTATACTTGCATACTATTGTTTGTACAGATTAACGTGGTACCTTCAGGCGTTTGGAAATTGCTCCCAAGGATGAACCAGACTTGTGGAGGTCTGCAATTTTTTTTCTGAGGTCTTGGCTGATTTCTTTTGATTTTCCCATGATGTCAAGCAAAGAGGCACTGAGTTTGAAGGTAGGCCTTGTAATACATCCACAGGTACACCTCCAATTGACTCAAATGATGTCAATTAGTCTATCAGAAGCTTCTAAAGCCATGCCATCATTTTCTGGAATTTCCCAAGCTGTTTAAAGGCACAGTCAACTTAGTGTATATAAACTTTTCACCCACTGGAATTGTGATACAGTGAATTATAAGTGAAATAATCTGTCTGTAAACAATTGTTGGAAAAATTACTTGTGTCATGCACAAAGTAGATGTCCTAACCGACTTGCCAAAAGTGGTCCTCTGTAGCTCAATTGGTAGAGCATGGCGCTTGTAACGCCAGGGTAGTGGGTTCTATCCCCAGGACCACTCATACGTAAAAATGTATGCACACATGACTGTAAGTCGCTTTGGATAAAAGCGTCTGCTAAATGGCATATTATTATTATTATTATAGTTTGTTAACAAGAAATTTCTGGAGTGGTTGAAAAACTTCCGACTTCAAGTTTTTACTTGTGTCTGAAGTGATGTTATCACGCTTGCTAAAGAAATACCGGAGGTAAGAGGAGAGTGTGCGTTCAAATCATGAGTCAAAATAAATGCACTTTGCCCTTTTTTTAAACCCTTGCATTGAAATATTTTATTAAACTAAATAAAAAGCGGTTGAAAAGTGCTGGGGCAAATGCCGCCTCACCACTCGTTTTCCAGCGGCCCTGCCATGGTTAATACTTGGTAGAAGCACCATTGGCAGTCATTACAGGTGTGAATAATAGACTTTCACTAGCGACTGTACAGTGAGGGAAAAAAGTATTTGATTTTGTACGTTTGCCCACTGACAAAGAAATGATCAGTCTATAATTTTAATGGTAGGTTTATTTTGAACAGTGAGAGACAGAATAACAACAAAAAAATCCAGAAAAACGCATGTCAAAAATGTTATAAATGGATTTGCATTTTAATGAGGGAAATAAGTATTTGACCCCTCTGCAAAACATGACTTAGTACTTGGTGGCAAAACCCTTGTTGGCAATCACAGAGGTCAGACATTTCTTGTAGTTGGCCACCAGGTTTGCACACATCTCAGGAGGGATTCTGTCCCACTCCTCTTTGCAGATCTTCTCCAAGTCATTAAGGTTTCGAGGCTGACGTTTGGCAACTCGAACCTTCAGCTCCCACTCCAGGACCTTAATGTGTTTCTTCTTGAGGCACTCCTTTGTTACCCTGGCCGTGTGTTTTGGGTCATTGTCATGCTGGAATACCCATCCACGACCCATTTTCAATGCCTTGGCTGAGGGAAGGAGGTTCTCACCCAAGATTTGACGGTACATGGCCCTTTCCATCGTCCCTTTGATGCGGTGAAGTTGTCCTGTCCCTTTAGCAGAAAAACACCCCCAAAGCATAATGTTTCCACCTCCATGTTTGACGGTGGGGATGGTGTTCTTGGGGTCATAGGCAGCATTCCTCCTCCTCCAATCACGGCAAGTTGAGTTGATGCCAAAGAGCTTGATTTTGGTCTCATCTGACCACAACACTTTCACCCAGTTCTCCTCTGAATCATTCAGATGTTCATTGGCAAACAGACGGGCCTGTATATGTGCTTTCTTGAGCAGGGGGTCCTTGCGGGCGCTGCAGGATTTCAGTCCTTCACGGCGTAGTGTTACCAATTGTTTTCTTGGTGACTATGGTCCCAGCTGCCTTAAGATCATTGACAAGATCCTCCCGTGTAGTTCTGGGCTGATTCCTCACCGTTCTCATGATCATTGCAACTCCACGAGGTGAGATCTTGCATGGAGCCCCCGGCCGAGGGAGATTGACAGTTATTTTGTGTTTCTTCCATTTGCGAATAATCGCACCAACTGTTGTCACCTTCTCACCAAGCTGCTTGGCGATGGTCTTGTAGCCCATTCCAGCCTTGTGTAGGTCTACAATCTTGTTCCTGACATCCTTGGAGAGCTCTTTGGTCTTGGCCATGGTGGAGAGTTTGGAATCTGATTGATTGATTGCTTCTGTGGACAGGTGTCTTTTATACAGGTAACAAGCTGAGATTAGGAGCACTCCCTTTAAGATTGTGCTCCTAATCTCAGCTCGTTACCTGTATAAAAGACACCTGGGAGCCAGAAATCTTTCTGATTGAGAGTGGGTCAAATATTTATTTCCCTAATTAAAATGCAAATCAATTTATAACGTTTTTCTGGATTTTTTTTGTTATTCTTTCTCTCACTGTTCAAATAAACCTACCATTAAAATTATAGACTGATAATTTCTTTGTCAGTGGGCAAACGTACCAAATCAGCAGGGGATCAAATACTTTTTTCCCTCACTGTATGTAGGAGCATGCAAATGTAATCCTGCTCCCATGAAGGTCATTACCATATATGTTTTTTATATAGAGAAATCATTTCTTATACAAAATATATATATATATATATATTTTTGTATATATTTTTTTTAATTATTGATATATAAAATATATAATTATTGATATATTTTTTTTAATGAATATATGTTAAAACGGCTTTCCATAGTAGAGTTGTGTCCATCTGTGACTAATGCTGCTTCCAAATCTCTGTGCTGCACCCAATTAGCACAGGCATACAGTGATGTAGAGTCAAATACATAAATCCACATTTATCCCAAAATGTATAGGGAAGTACACTACAGGCCTATACGTTGTACATTTAGCATCATTGCCACACGTTGTTTGTAGATGTTGCATCCTTGTCACATCTTGTGTCTAATGTATTTCATTGCATGAGTTATTTGCACATGCCCCTGCAAGCTCATTCTATAACACCTGAAAAACACTAGCCTGTAACCCTGTAACTAAATATCAAATTGGCTGTGACTGTTCAGTGTGGAAAATGAGCTGACGAAGCAGAGAGATATTATGTTAATCCTGTATTCATTATGATTGCCCCAAAAAACGAGTCGGGTGCGTCCCAAATGGCACCCTATCCTTATAGTGCAGTACTTTTGACCAGGACCCAATGGGCTCTGGTCAAAAGTAGTGCACTATGTAGGGAATAGGGTGCCATTTGGGAAACAGACCTAGTGAGAGAGAAGAGACTGTATTTTGCCTGTCAGACAGTGGGGCTGTACAGAGTGAGTGAGTGGATTTATGAGACTGAGATTGCACAACAGGCTCAATTGAATGGTTCTGAACTGAAGCCTGCTTTTCCTGCTGCATGCTGACACTTACCATATTTCACCCTGAATAATTGAATGCTCTTCATCTTTATTGCCCCTCTGCACTTCTCCATTGCATCATTGTTCATTGTCGTTTATAAAAGAGAGTGTGTTCACCACGACAAGTAAAAGGATCATGTTGTGATGTGTCCCAGTTTGATATCAAGTCTGTTTGTGCAGTTCATTGTCTGTGTTCTTTTTCTATTATCCTCTTGTGCTTGTTCAGGAAATTGCAATGGGTTCCCCTACCCATTCATGTAGGCCAACATCTTTACATGAGAAGGAGGTAAGAGAAAACATTGGCAGCAGCATAAAGTGCAGTGATGCTAAACTCCCACCTTGTTGTTTCCTGTAGCTGCATGTACTAATGTCTCTCACACAATACAATGCACAAAACTGCCTAGGCTATATCTATCATTTATTAGTATTTTTCAAATAGACTAGAGAATTGAGTTATTAAGATGACCAAGAATAAAACGTTTTTTCAGTGTTTATGTTCCTGTGCTTCTTTTATTCAATAAACCACTAGAAATGCAATACATTTTGAAGACATGTTTCCTTTGGGCTACACAATATTATTTGTCATGAAATAAATGGTTATTGTTGACCATTTTAACCTTGATAACAAATCCATAAAACTTAATCTAAACGTGATATAATCTAATTTCTTATCACAGAGCCCATAAACCTGGATAATAACGAATCTGTGCTGTGCTTTTCAATTGATAAATGATTGAACACTGCCACCTGCTGGTCAAATGGCCACATTGAACGGGCTTTTATTTTGAAGTGAGAAAGTATAGAAGCCGAAAATATTGTTTACTTTGTGAGGAAGTGGAGGGTGAGCGCTAAACTAGCTATTTTATTTAATCTTGTAACGAAATCGATAGTTTTAAAAATATAAAAGTAGCTAGCCTATTAAAATGAGCTGGATGATATGTTTACAACTAGCTGTCTAGCTACGTCAGTACAGGGCTAAATTACAGAGGCCGGCCTTAGCTACGCTAACTTGTTATGTTAGCTAGCTACAGTAGCTAACTAAATTAGGTAGCTAGCTAGAGTAATGTCAACAATCTAGCTAGAGCAATGTCAACAATGCTGTTTAGTCAGTCGATTTTGTATAATTGGATGATACCAAATATTTTATTTGGTATTTTGGCGACAACGTTATCATTAGCATTTGAAATGGTCACTCATCAAGCCAAGTTGATTTTGGCTGGCCCAAAAGAGAAACTCCAGGGTTAGCTAATAATAGCTAGGTGGCAGTCAAGTCTCTGTAAATATGGGTTTTTAGGCTGACAAATATAATACTGTAATTCCATGGCATTCATACATTCCATAAGGTCCAACTAACACATTGAATCACATGACCATAACCGTATAGACTGTCAATAGCAGGGCAACAGTTGTCATCTGACTCACAGCCCAGAGGTTGATCCACATACCTGCACTTGTGTTCTTTGACAGACTCTTTGTTGTTTAAGATCAAACAGAAGATCACAGGATGGATTCTAGTGGGAAACCCTCCACAGCCCAATTCCTGCTATTAGCCACCAGCTCAGCACTGACTGCAGTCTTCTACTCTGTGTACAGGAGGAGGACAACAACAGTAGCAAGATTAAAGGTAATCACACAGGCTTGCCTCATCTATCTTTCTTATCTACCTTATCTCTTTAAAACTGTTAGTAGCATGCATTTGAGGTTTTTAATTGTTGTTCAATATCATTAATGTTTTGCAGGGAGCCAAGAAAGTGTCTATTGATCAGGATATGAAGAACATCCTGACAGAATTACCAGGAAAATGTGTCCCGTATGCTGTGATTGAAGGTGTTGTGAGATCTGTGAAAGAAACCTTGAACAGCCAGTTTGTGGACAACTGCAAAGGGGTCATCGAGAGGTTAACTCTAAAGGAGAAGAAGATGGTGTGGAATCGCACCACTCATCTCTGGTAAGTGCTAAAGTACACTGAAGTGCTATGATATTATGTTGCACCCTCTCTTACTGATGGCTGTTAGGCGGCTCAATTTGTGTGGATTAATTTTTTGTGTGTGGAGACACTTTCACACACTGACGATGGCCTAGTAATGGCTAACTTTTGTTCTGCTCGTGCTACCTCTAGAATGAAATAATAAATATGAAAGCATTTCAAAGAACATTATGAAAACAAACAAACTTGATGATAAAAAGTTATGCTCTGTACTGCATCTTTTTGTGGATACACATCTCTGTAGGTATCTCTAATATTTTGTACCTGTCAGGAACGAGAGTGAAAAGGTCATCCACCAGCGCACGAACACGGTGCCCTTTGACCTGGTGTCCCACGACGAGGCTGTGACAGCCACCATCCGGGTCATCCGTCCCCTGGAATCCTCGGAGCTGGACCTGGAGACCACCTATGAGAACTTTCACCCCACCGCCCAGTCCCTGACCAACGTCATCGGCCACTTCATCAGCGGGGAGCGCCCTAAAGGTGTGGTCCGGTATGGTCCTAATTGGTCCTGTGTGGCTTAGTTGGTAGAGCATGGTCCTTGCAACACCAGGGTTGTGGGTTCAATTCCCACTTGGGCCACCCATACAGGGAAAGATGTCACTCACTACTGAGTGATTACTCACTAAACCAGGAAAATAAATACCATGATTTTGGGCATTTTCAATAAATGTAATCCATAGAATGGTCCTTGGGAAGAAGGATTGTTGACATGTTTTTGACATTTGTATCTAAAAGCATAATTGAGAAATAATTAATCAAAGCAAAGTTAGCATATTTATGCCATTTTGGACTCAGGCCTCCTTCAAGACTCCATAATGTTTAATCTGTAGGTGCTACAAAGCAGAAATGTGTGTCATATGAAGCTTTACTGCTTGCTCTGCAATATGAGTAGTATCTTGATTTCAGTATATTGAAAATATACCATTTTTGATTAGGCAAATGTTTCAATATATTGATGAACATAACACTGTACGGGCATATCAAAGTTCCAGAGTGGAATCTCTGCAACTTTTAGAGTAATGATCAGTGGTGTAGTGGAGGGTATACACACTTTATTTTTGTGGGCATCGTGTATACTCACTTATTCATCCGCACGATGCGTATCAAACTAGTGTAGTGGAGGTATCAATTAATAAGCTGATGGAACAGATCACAATGTTGAACTTAAAATGTTGATAAACTTTTATTTGTTATATTTTAAGCGCAACAATGTGCACACTGCAGTAGGCCTACGCATAAATGTTCCAAAATGTAATTTGCAGGAAAACAAGGCGTACCGCACATGTGAGTGGTTTCATGGACAGAGATTAAAATATCTGTTAGAAATGTAGAAAGAGGGGAGATCTAAAGATGCAACAACTGTCATGGGTTTCTAATATGACTAGGATAATGCCTTTGGCTGCTAGACAATGAAAGAAAGTTGATTTGAAAACCAATAGAACAGTAGAGTGCATATGAGGAAGTCTTTATAAAGAGTTGCCTCCACATTTCTATGGTGGGATTCTGGCTGTAGGCTACTTTGAAGCAAAGTAAGACATGCCTCATAATATGAAGTAAAACGTACAGGTTTCAAACAGTTAAGGAACAGGAAAAATATAGCAATGCTAATGATAGGCCTAACCGCCTTCTGGTAGATGGAAAGGCTTTCCCAAAAACCTTCTCGGTGGCGAAGGTGCATAAAGATGGCGGCCCCCATGTACTTAACACAAACACCTAATTTGCTAGTTCGCTGAATTGTACAGTGCTCTCCGTTACTCTTTTTTGTATTGGCATTAGCACAGTATACATGACCCCAATTTTAGCTCCAAGATGGCGGCAATTTGAAAAAATGAAAAAGTAGAACCATGTATTGTAATAAGTCTGTGGATAGTGCTCAAACTAAGATGTCATATCTTAGTTCCTCCATCTTTATCCACCTTCGCCATTAAATGTTAACTAGCTACAAAGTAGCCTATGCCTTCCTGGCAGAATGATATCATGATTCTTTGCATCAATCCAGAGGCCAACTCCATCTCATGTGCGCTACAGAAACACCAAACAACAGTGCAAGTGCCTGCACAGTTGAATTAAAGGGTAACTACACTCAAAAATCTAAATTTCTTAGATTTTTCCCAGACCTCAAAAGTGGTCTCCTGATGTGGTTTAAGTATTGTTGTGGACTTAGAACATCCAATTTTGTTGTTTTTCTATTTAAAAAGTGTGACCTTGAGAGCGTAAACCTGAAGAAAACAAATCAGGAACCTGTGAATTTCTGACTCTTTTGACAGTCTAATTTATCTATTTCAATGCAGTGCCTTCAGAAAGTATTCACACCCCTTAACTTTATCCACATTTTGTTGTGTTACAGCCTGAATTTAAAATGGATTAAATTGAGATTTTTTGTCACTGGCCTACAGACAATACCCCATAATGTCTAAGTGGAATTATGTATTTCGAAATGTTTACAAAAAAGTTTAAAATGAAAAGCTTGAGTCAATAAGTATTCAACACCTTTGTTATGGCAAGTCTAAATCATTTCAGGAGTAAACATTTGCTTAACAACTCACATAAGTTGCACGGACTCACTCTGTGTGCAATAATACTGTTTAACATAATTTTTGAATGACTGCCTTATCTCTGTACCCCACACATACAATTCTCTGTAAGGTCCCTCAGTCGAGCAGTGAATTTCAAACACAGATTCAACCACAAAGACCAGGGAGGTTTTCCAATGCTTCGCAAAGGGCACCTATTGGTAGATGGGTAAAAATATAAAAAGCAGACATTTGAGCATGGTGAAGTTATACACTTTGGATGGTGTATCAATACACCCAGTCACTACAAAGATACAGGCGTCCTTCCTAACTCAGTTGCCGGAGAGGAAGGAAACAGCTCAGGGATTTCACCATGAAGCCAATCGTGACTTTAAAACAGTTACAGAGTTTAATGGTTGTAATATGAGAACTGAGGACGGATAAAGAACATTGTAGTTACTCCATAATACTAACCTAATTGACAGAGTGAAAAGAAGGAACTAAAGTAATACTGCAAAAAATGTGGCAAAGCAATTAACTTTTTGTCCTGAGGACAATAACTTAAAACACAAGGCCAAATCTACACTGGAGTTGTTTACCAGTTTTCTGAGTGGCCAAGTTACCGTTTTGACTTAAATCTGCTTGAAAATCTATTGCAAGACCTGAAAATAGTTGTCTAGCAATGATCAATAACCAATTTGACAGAGCTTAAAGAATTTTGAAAAGAATAATGGGCAAATGTTGCACAATCCAGGTGTGGAAAGAGCTTAGACTTACCTAGAACGTATTGACTCAGGGGTGTGAATACTTATGTCAATTAGATATTTCTGTATCATTTTCAATACATAACACAACAATTTCTAAAAACATGTTTTCACTCTGTCATTATGGGGTATTGTGTGTAGATGGGTGAGAAAAAAATCGATTTAATCTATTTTGAATAAGTCAAGGGGTATGAATACTTTCTGAAGACACTAGTAGGCCTACTATTAGCCTACTTGCACAGTACAGTTTGGGTTGGCCTGACTGTGAAAGACCAATAAGGGATTTATTATTTTAGATAATTCAGAGTGTATGTCACTGTTTGTCATAAGTTTTGAACAGGGCGCCTTTCCTTCGCCGGGCGGGCCGGTTGGGATTTTTTTTTGCCAAATTGGAGTATTCCCACTTCTCCAGGCACCACTACACCACTGGTTATGATCCAATTTGCAAGCGTTACCGAATGTCAAAATATATTCAAAATGGTTGCCCTCTGCTGGTGATTTGTAGGATGTGCAATGTTACAAGTAAGTAAAAGGAGGTCTGTGATTGGTTACATTGCCTACAATGCCAATTTCTCATTATAAAATGGGCCATAACTTTTAAACTAGCAGAGATCCCTGGGTAAGGCCAAAATCTCATAAATATGCCAACTTTGTTAAATTATTTCTCAATTATGCTTTTAGATACAAATGTCATATGTCAACAATCCTTCCTCCAAAGGACCATTCTATGGATTACATTTTGTGAAAATCCCTAAATTCATGGTCTTTTTTGCCCTGGTTTCGTGAGGAATCACTCAGTCATTTGAATACCGTAATACACTTGTGATTGATTGAATTTTATTGATTGTTTGATTGGATAAAAGTGTCTCCTAAATGGTATATATTATTATTATCGAAGGGATCCATGAGACGGAGGAGATGTTGCGTCTAGGGGAGAGTGTGACCGGGGTCGGGGAGCTGGTGCTGGACAACAACCTGGTGAAGCTCCAGCCTCCCAAGCAGGACCTGAGGTACTTCCTCAGCCGACTGGACTTTGATTCCCTGGTGGAGAAGCAGCAGAGCAGCGTCAGGTTCTGGAGGGTCCTGACCATGGTGTTTGGTGTGGTTGCTTCCACAACGCTCCTCTTCATCCTGTGGAAGCATTGGGCTTACCATAGACAGAGGAGGAAGGAGAAGAACGTCCTGGAGGAGTTCAAGGAGCAGCAGAGGGAGAGGATGAGGGAGCTGAATGTAGAAGAGGCCAGTGTTTCCCCTAGTGCCTGTACAGTGTGTCTGAGCCGGGAGCGCTCCTGTGTGTTCCTGGAGTGTGGGCATGTCTGTGCCTGTGACCGGTGCTACCAGGCTCTGCCAGAGCCAAAGAAGTGCCCTATCTGCAGGGCGACGATAGAGAGGGTAGTGCCTCTTTATAACAGCTAATGGTCAATGCCATGGGGATGGCCATTGTAAATGGACTAATCTAATGTCATTGAAAAAAGGATTGTGTAGGCTTATCTTTTTCTGTTTTCTTTGCTTTCATAACGTTTCATTGAAAGATCAAGCTGACTTGTAATTCTGTCATTACACAAATGTTGATTTGAGTTATATCAGTTGAGGAAAACATGTAATATCTAGTGTCCTTTTTCCATAGAGAGTTTTAGAATCAACTCAGAAGTAGAATGTTTTCACCTCAATGTTTCTCCAAAGCACACCAAAGCCATTTTGAATAAATAAAGACACACAAAACAAATATATCCTCAACCTATTTTACAAATCTGTAGGCCCTGTACTATCCACACACATGTATGTAAAAAAAGTATGGCTGCCAGGAGAGGGTGATGTCTGCCCTACATAAGTTTTCAACAGGGATGAAAGAGTACATATTTTATGATTTATATAAACCATTGCATTTGATCTAAGCAGAAAAGGTACAGAAATCATGTGCAAAATAAAGGTATGTGCAAATTAAAAACATTTGATAAAGTATCAAGTTTTGTTTTAAGTGACTGAATCAGTTATTAATCATAAAAGAAGGAGCAGTGTACAATGGCATTAACAATTTATTCATGAAGTGTTGACTGCTATGTGATGCCCATTGAACCGAGAAAGTAAAAAATAAATACATCAGGAGCCTCAGTCGGTGACGTATCTTTCTTCTGCCACTTCTGCTAGGGATTGTTTTGCATGGCTCTCCTGCACTATTTGCATTTCTCTCTTCATCAGATTTTTATTCTGTAAACGACTGTATTCCATCGATAAATTACCCATTTATTCGTAAAGAGGACGGAACATTTTGGATAAAATATGTTTTATGCAAGCGATATCATAGGCTACAGTATAATTGTAAGTTGATTATAAAATCAGCTTTTATTGTGAAGACATGTCGGAAGTATTGCCTTACAACGATAAAAAAAAATACCAACAACTTCTACTGTAGCCTATTTAACAGACTAAAATACCACCTAAACTCGGACAGATTGGGAGAAGTAAAAGAGGTGAGAGACTATTGTCAACCATAGGACTTCTCTAAATAATAATTACAATAGATACAATAAACACTTTTGAAAATAGGATATAGGCCTAGTGTGTGTGTTTGTTCAAAAATAAAGAGTTGGCCTCATTTAAAAATGTGTTCATATTTTCAGTGGCATTACTGGACACAGCATGTATAAATGAACTTTCCCATGAACAGATATAGGCGTAGATGAAATCCACCATCTAGTTTATGCTTGCTTGCATCCTGACTCAGAATCTGACAGAAGGCTAGTAAATGCAAAGCATATGGGATAATATGAGTGGAGGGAAAACAGATCCGAAACTCGCTCTTAATATTTTTACTCAATCTGAGCCTTTTGCTACAGTACTGTTCAGTCTTGCAAAGTTTCAATACTTTTGTGCACAATGTTTAAAGCCGCGTCAATGTGTTTTTCACCTGTAATATCATAGTTGAATAACTTTTTGGATACCCTTTTTGTAGGGTGACCACATTTAAAATACCCAAATGCGGGACAACATAACGATTTCGCCGGACATTCGCGGGACAGTGTAGCTAGCCTACATGAATAAAAACATTTGGCAGCACCCCACAGATATTGAATATCATTATACAATATGCATAAAATTGCAACGTTTGCCTATTGTCTCAAGAACATTTTCTATTTTTAATACCCTCAAATACCAAATTTGGCATACCTAATTTCAAAATAGGCCATGGCATCATCGCTGTCAATCGCGAATGATAATTCTTCACGTTTTGCCAGTGAAATAAATGTTCAAACTGCGTCTGCATGCCAATCATTTGATCTCCATCAGATTCGTGGGATTATGCATTTAGATCATCTTGAATTACTGTTTCGTGAGCCAATTAGAGCAGATAGTGTTAACAAACTATATAGCCTTCCAATATTTGGTTTCAATCAAAACACAAACTTTACGAAACGAGCACTATTGTGGCGGAACCACGCTCGGATGTGCTCTGGCAGTACTACACCCCGTGCAGTTCGCTGCACCGAACGAGCAATTGAAGCGTAGCCAACTATTTTGCCTTGCGTAACATTTGGTGATGCAGAAACTAGAGACCACGTGTGGCTGTTTCTGGAAATATTTGGCAAATAAAAAAATTATGTTTTGTCTCAGGGGATGTACAACAGTTAGGATGGGATACTTTAAAAGGGGGATTGAGTGAAGTAGCAGCAATAATGTTGAATGCGCAACTAATGAGCATTGAGAGCCTCACAAATTTGACGAAATTACTTTAGCCTATATCTTTCAGTCTAATATGGCTATTTACTTACTTTTGTAGCTCTTCATCAGAAGCATGCTTTTGTAAGTATACTGAACAAAAATATAAACGCAACAGGCAACTATTTCAAAGTTACAGTTCATACAAAGAAATCCGTCAATTGAAATAATATCATTAGGCCCTAATCTATGGATTTCACATGACTGGGCAGGGGTGCAACCATGGGTGGTCCTGGGAGGGCATAGACACACCCACTTGGCAACCAGGCCCACCCACTGGGGAGCCAGGCCCAGCCAATCAGAATGAGTTTTTCCCCACAAAGGGGCTTTATTACAGACAGAAATACTCCTCAGCACATGTTCTGCGGTTGAGAGGCCAGATGGAAGTACTGCCAAAATCTCTAAAACAACATTGGAGGCAGTTTATGGTAGAGAAAGGAACATTCAATTCTCTGGCAACAGCTCTGGTGGACATTCCTGCAGTTGGCATGCCAATTGCATGCTCCCTCAAAACTTGAGACAGCTGTGGCATTGTGTTGTGTAACAAAACTGTACATTTTAGAGTGGCCTTTTATTGTCCCCAGCACAAGGTGCACCTGTGTAATGATCATGCTGTTTAATCAGCTTCTTGATATGCCACACATGTCAGGTAGATGGATTATCTTGGCAAAGGAGAAATGCTCACTAACAGGGATGTAAACAAATTTGTGCACAAAATTTGAGAGAAATAAGATGTTTGTGCGTATGAAAAAAATCCGGGATTTTTTATTTTTGCTCATGAAACATGGGACCAACACTTTACATGTTGCGTTTATATTTTTGTTCAGTGTAGTTAGGAGGCCTAACTGTCCTCCAAGTTCAGCTGGAATGTACAGCCCAAAAAAAGGACTTGAGAAATAAGATTGGTTGATGATAGGCCTATGACATTGGCCTACTTCTCATCTTGCGCTGCGCATAATATCAGATATCAACAATGATTGGAGAAGTGTTTAACATCACCAGTTGGTTTAGACTACCACATCCTTATGATGTACACCACCGTTCAAACGTTTGGGGTCACTTAGAAATGTTCTTGTTTTCCATGAAAACATACAGTTGAAGTCGGAAGTTTACATACACTTAGGTTGGAGTCATTAAAACTCGTTTCTCAACCACTCCACACATTTCTTGTTAACAAACTATAGTTTTGGCAAGTCAGTTAGGACATCTACTTTGTGCATAACACAAGTAATGTTTCCAACAATTGTTTACAGACAGATTATTTCACTTATAATTCACTGTATCACAATTCCAGTGGGTCAAAAGTTTATATACACTAAGTTGACTGTGCCTTTAAACAGCTTGGAAAATTCCAGAAAATTATGTAATGGCTTTAGAAGCTTCTGACAGGCTAATTGACATAATTTGAGTCAATTGGAGGTGTATCTGTGGATGTATTTCAAGGTCTACCTTCAAACTCAGTGCCTCTTTGCTTGACATCATGGGAAAATCAAAAGAAATCAGCCAAGACCTCAGAAGAAAAATTGTAGACCTCCACAAGTCTGGTTCATCCTTGGGAGCAATTTCCAAACACCTGAAGGTACCACGTTCATCTGTACAAACAATATTACGCAAGTATAAACACCATGGGACCACGCAGCCGTCATACCGCTCAGGAAGGAGATTAACGTACTTTGGTGCGAAAAGTGCAAATCAATCCCAGAACAACAGCAAAGGACCTTGTGAAGAGGAAAAAGGGGTGGCAGCATCATGCTGTGGGGGTGCTTTTCTGCAGGAGGGACTGGTGCACTTCACAAATAGATGGCATCATGAGGAAGGAAAATTATGTGGATACAGTGGGGGAAAAAAGTATTTAGTCAGCCACCAATTGTGCAAGTTCTCCCACTTAAAAAGATGAGAGAGGCCTGTAATTTTCATCATAGGTCCACGTCAACTATGACAGACAAATTGAGATTTTTTTCTCCAGAAAATCACATTGTAGGATTTTTAATGAATTTATTTGCAAATTATGGTGGAAAATAAGTATTTGGTCACCTACAAACAAGCAAGATTTCTGGCTCTCACAGACCTCTAACTTCTTCTTTAAGAGGCTCCTCTGTCCTCCACTCGTTACCTTTATTAATGGCACCTGTTTGAACTTGTTATCAGTATAAAAGACACCTGTCCACAACCTCAAACAGTCACACTCCAAACTCCACTATGGCCAAGACCAAAGAGCTGTCAAAGGACACCAGAAACAAAATTGTAGACCTGCACCAGGCTGGGAAGACTGATCTGCAATAGGTAAGCAGCTTGGTTTGAAGAAATCAACTGTGGGAGCAATTATTAGGAAATGGAAGACATACAAGACCACTGATAATGTCCCTCGATCTGGGGCTCCACGCAAGATCTCACCCTGTAGGGTCAAAATGATCACAAGAACGGTGAGCAAAAATCCCAGAACCACACGGGGGGACCTAGTGAATGACCTGCAGAGAGCTGGGACCAAAGTAACAAAGCCTACCATCAGTAACACACTACGCCGCCAGGGACTCAAATCCTGCAGTGCCAGACGTGTCCCCCTGCTTAAGCCAGTACATGTCCAGGCCCGTCTGAAGTTTGCTAGAGTGCATTTGGATGATCCAGAAGAGGATTGGGAGAATGTCATATGGTCAGATGAAACCAAAATAGAACTTTTTGGTAAAAACTCAACTCGT